GCATAAACAATAAATATTTTACATTAAGGCAATTTATTAAAAATAACATTTTAATTGTCTTGATTATTAGCTCACAAGTATATAGCTAAAAGACAGCTTATTGTTTCTAAATTCAACATTCTCTTTGTGAGTCTTGTTGTTGGTGTAAAAGGTAAGTTATATTGCACAGTCCAAAATTAAACCCCTAAAGGGAAATAGAGTGAACAGAGCCCAGTCCAGTCAGTTGCTCATTATTGTAACATGATAAGCAGTTGACATTGGACATCTGGATCTATGGGATAATGCATTTCCAAGAGCTGCTGCTTCAAAGTTGCAGTGGAACATCAAATTAGATTTTTCTTTCCTTCTAAAGTAAACATGGCCAGAGTTACACATGTTCAGGTGTGCGGTTTGCATTAAGCGCTCAGCTCATTATCAGATGTTTGTTAAGGGTAATTCCAAATAAATAACTAATTCATGTTGTTGTTATGGCTTATGTCATTGTGCTTACCACCAAGTTTACTCCTTGAAAAGAAATTGCATTGGCAGAATTGGTTATAGCAAAGACTAAATAAGTTGCATGACCCAAAAAAGGAGTATTTACCCTGATGGGTAATATGGACCAAAACAATCTTAACAGAAATAAGACAGTTGCTTACAGAATATGAAATGCAAATATTCACTGACAGATTTACAAAATGCTTTCTTTAACTGTTTAATAGTTATAGGAGCACTGCAGTGCACAGTGCTGTGCACTGTATTGATACCCTGGGTATGATAGTACATCCTGTGAGCATGCTGTTTAGAATTTTGAATGGAACTATAGGTGAAATGTCAAAATATAAAACGGTTGCTCTAAAATAATGCTCTAAAAGTTTTAATTCTTTGTTGTATTCCTGACAGCGTCCCTGCTGACTACAGCACCCCAGCCTCATATGGAGACCAAAACATCACCAATGGCACTGGATGTTTAGATTCAGATGCCTGGGAGTGGCTCTACAGCTGGCAGCCGGTGTACATTGCATTCATCACCGTGCTGGGGATTGTTTTTAACGTGTTTGTCCTGATAGTTTTCTGCTTACACAAGAAGGCCTGCACTGTTGCTGAGATCTACCTGAGCAACCTGGCTGCTGCCGACCTCGTTCTGATGTGTTGTTTGCCTTTCTGGGCTGTGAATATCTCCAATGGGTTCGACTGGCCCTTTGGTCTGTTTTTGTGCAAAGTCATCAACCTTGGCATTAAAATGAACGCCTACTGCAGCATCTACTTCCTTGTTCTTGTAGGCATGGATCGCTATGTGGCACTGGTGCATACAATGTCCCATGGCAGAATGCGTAGGCCAAAGTATGCCAAACTGGGCTGTCTGCTGGTGTGGGGGTTTGGGTTACTGCTCTGTGTCCCTACTCTCATCTTCAGGAAAGTGAAACATTTCCCTGAGTATGACGTACATGCATGCTTTCTGGACTACCCAAAACATGTTCCCTACCTACAGATTTTCTTTGATGTGATCTTGGTCATTTTCAGCTTCATTGTCCCGATTTCGATAATCTCATTCTGCACTGTTAAAATTATTCAAGCTTTGAAGATGCAGGCAATGGAGAGGTTCAATGCTGAGAAAACAGAGCAAAAAGCCACCACACTGGTGTTGGCAGTCCTTTTGGCGTTCCTGATCTGTTGGGTGCCCTTCCATGTGGTTGCCACTGTGGATATGATGGTCCGTGCCGTTGGCTTGGTAGGGTGCCACCTCGAGGATGTCCTTGATATTTGCAACCAGATGTTCACCTACTTAGCCTTTTTCAACAGTGTCCTCAACCCCATCCTCTACGTCATTGTTGGGAAAAACTTCAGGAAAAAAGCCCTAGAACTCTTCAAACAATGGAACATTAAAAGAGTGACGACCTTCGAGTCCACACGGTCAAACCAGTCCTCTACACTGAAGACTTTGGTATGACTGCCTTTGAAGGCAAATATGGACTTCTGATGTTATCGTCTCTATGCAGTCCTGCACTGATGTAAATGACTCAAATAATAGGATCAATTCATGATTTGAATTGAAGTACATGTAATGGTTTGATTTGACCAAATCATTGTGACTCAAATCAATCTGTGATGTGTTGCCTTAAAAAAGTTAAAATCCTGTTTCATGTATATTTACAAGAAAAAAACAAGATCAATGTAGAGATTCACAAGCCTTGAATGGCTGTGCCCATGGAGAAGGTGTTACAGACTGCTACATGCACTTTTTTTCTCTCCTTAAGATAGTTCTCTTACATTTGGTTGATTAGTACAGCATAGTCTCCTGTTACAAATGATGATATCACTATATTGATTCCACAGGTTTGTACAGTTTTCATACTCTGTCTGCTCTTGCTAATTACTCAGACTATACATAGCTGTCAAATAAAATATACACATGGTTTGAATGGATGTCTCGTTGAATCTTTATAATGCATTTAATAATGCAAGTCGAGAACAAAAACCCGAACCAGAAGAAAGCCCCGACAACTGCTTGCTAAGTGTTTTCTGGTGTTTCTGACTCATCGTCTGCGGGGTTAAAAACAGGATTCTGTCAAAGAGTTTCCAGCGGTGACACACAAACATGCTACTTTTTGTTGGCTGCATGGGCATGGGTCGTCTCATTATACAGTTCAACCCACACCACCATAATTTAATGGCCCAGTGTTGACTCATTGTGGGCTGTGGGCGAGTGTACACCCCTAGTTGTCCCGAAAAAAGAGGCATGTCGAGCCAAACAGGAAATCTTTGTGAGGAGTCATGCTCTGCCACCAATGCCAAGGCTGAAAATTGTTGTGGAACAAAAAAACATGCAAGCAGACAAAGTCCCCTCAAATGGTGAAATGCTTTCCGAAAATATATAATTCAGCCTGATGTTTTTTAGTCTGCCTTTCAGATTTTTGCACACTGCATCACAAAATTAACAGTAAAATGGAAGTTAAACTTGCACTTTTTAAGGAGTCATTAGGCCTATACAATAGATTATTTATCTTCTGCGTTTTTTCTTCTAGTCTAATTATTAAAACCAAATTGTGATTACAAAAGGAAGTAGTGAAAAGTTCTAGTTTTAAGTTGGTTTATTTTTAAGATTGGCCTATAGTCAATGCTTCATTTCTTATGTCTTTCGGTAGCCTTTATTACAAATGCACTCTAAAACATTTCTAGGAATTTGGAGAATAGCCTGCCACTGAAATCTGTCTCAGTTGTCCATGCACCTCACACCAGAGGGGCTGGAACATCATCAGGCAGGACCTGACATCAAAAGGACGACTTGGAAATGTAGGACGAAGCAACAGCCCAATGATGCGAGTGTTCGCTTTTTATCAAGGCATTAAAGACACCTGCTGTTGCTGTCATGAGAAACAACTCACAAGTCTGAAGCAAAGACACTAAGTCCTTCGGAGCAACCAAAGGATGAGAAAAAGCATCAGCGTTACAGTGTACCTTCAAATTGTTGTGGCTTTGTTCATTTGCTCATCAATGTGACATCACTCTGGGTGTACTTGGGCATATGCGTTACCTATTGGCGACCAGGGAACTACCTTGGATGTAGCCTAGTCACAGCTCATTGAATCCCTTCCTGTTTATGTGATTGTGGGTAAGTGTTTAATCTAACCCATGCTAAGGAAACCGCAAAAAAAAGGGAAGTCTGGTCTTGGCCAATTTTTATTTAACTAAATAAAATGAGAATACAGCGAGTTCAAGTCCATCTTCACCCACAGAGGCAAGTTTCCAGCAAAGAAAACTTCCTTTTAAAACAATAGCATTCTTCTTCTTAACATCTTTTTTTAACACAAATGCCTTCTTTCTTTAATTTTTCAAGTTTTAAAGACAAGACTGCAAGACAAGCTGTAATAACAATATTATTCCTTCTTCATCAAGAAAGCTAAAAAAAAAAGTTAAACTGTGCATTCATCTGTTGTGAGGCAAAATGCTACATGTTTTTGTTGTTTAGATCTCAAGAGTGATATTTCTGGGAAAAAGTCAATTTTAGTGTAGCATCATTCGTTTAACTAATGTTACCGTTGCTCCTGTACAACAGAGTGGTATAAAATAAAGGAATAGATATTAGAATATGAAATGAATAACAAAGACTAACAACACAGGTGAAGACAATCAGGGCAGTCAGAGTGGAGGGAAACTAGACAGGAAGTAAGACAAGAGAAGAAAACTAGGGACAAGAATTACAAAATAAAACAGGAAACACCAAAGACGAGACTAGAAATGCACACACACACACACACACACACACACACACACACACACACATACACACACATACAGGGGAAAGAGAAACACGAGGATAAGAAAGGACAAAACAAGCAGCACTAGAAATGATGCCAGAGATTACACAGGATTAAAGCAACACGAGGGATGAATAAAAAATAAAACAGGAAATGAATTCTAAGCACTGAAATTAACCAAGTATAAATCTAAACAAGGACGAATCATGACAAGGATGAGTAAAAGCCAGATTTCCTCTCAGAATACCTTATAGGGCTTTTACACTTGCAGAAAACTCTATACGGCTTCCTGAGCTTTAAATTCCTCAACTCACCAGAGAATAAGAAGGAAGGTGCTGCAGCTTCTTCTGTAGGCCAACACCACAGCAGCTGCATTATGATTTCAGTTAGCCAGTATGTTGTTCTCTGCTCTTGTGTTGATGTTGTCATTCCATTGGACTACACATAGCATTGACATAAAGGCAAATATTCTCAAGCAGATTAAAGCAGATTCCGTTGCTTTGGCCACTATTTCTGCATCCCCCCCTAATGTCTGACAGGGATGTGCATTATAGCACCAGGTCAGGAGAATCTCCAGTTCCACATTCATATCAACTGCACTAAAGCATGAACCCATGAGGAATGTTGTTATGATCATGTAAAAACACTGTGTGCATTGCAGTGTCTCTTTGCAGGAGCATGGGCTTTAATTTGACGCTTTCATAAACAAGTTGATAGATTCAGCTACTTGTACGAGGGTGTGGAAGAAGAGGGAAGTGTATACAAAAAGGCTCCTCGCAGTTCTCCCTTCCTCTCTACTCCTTTCAGCAGCGTTTTGACCATATAGGATGAACATTTTCGCTCAATACAAGGTAAGAACTTTTCATTATATGGCGTTTTTTTTTTTGTTGTTTTCAGGCGTACAAATAAAGGTATGATATAGTCTTATGATGTGTAGTCCTGAACTCAGAACACTGAGAAATAATGAAGGTGGATTCCAGCCTTTATATTATAATTGCCATGAAATGATTTAGATGCATGGATACAATAAACCAAAAGTTCAGACCTACTATAATAATAAACTGTTTATGAAATACTTGTTATGGTTTCCAGTTTTCTTGAGTGGAATTCAGAGCCTGTACCTAAACAGGTCATTGGCAACATTTTTATCGTCGATTTATCATTTTAAAACACGTTTTATTGTGTGTAATAATCTTTTAAAGGAGGTGCTGGCACATCCAACTATCTCATGAAGTAGGTGCGTAGGACACCAAACTATCACATTGAAAAGAAAAAATCCTGCACACTAGTCTTGCTTGGCATCACCAACAAGTTATTCAAGGAAAAAATCACAACGTTTCAGTCCATCTGAACACACTTGACAAAGGTTCAGAGGGACTGAAAGAAATACTGTAAACTGGACATAATATGCTTCACAGACTGCAATCAAAAATAGAAATTTAATGAAGAACTATGCGTATTCTTTGTTTTCTAGTACATGGAGGAAGTCAAGCATGTACTCATGGCAACTCTGTGGTCTGACAACAGCAGTGCACCTCTGCCACCCAATGTATCAGAGTCTCCAATCGCAGCTGACTGGGATATGGTCCACACCATCATCCCCCCGTACATCTTCACCCTCTCCCTGCTAGGCCTCATCTTTAACAGCTTCGTCCTGGGGGTTTTCTTCGCCCACAGGGATCGACTGACTGTAGCAGAGATCTACCTGAGTAACCTGGCGCTGGCTGACTTTATCCTCCTGTGTAGCCTCCCCTTCTGGGCGATGAGCATCCTCAACCAATATAACTGGCCTTACGGGGATTTCTTATGCAAAATGGTCAACTCCGTCATCGTTGTAAATATCTACACAAGCATTTACACCCTTGTGATGATTAGTGTGGACCGCTACCTGGCTATAGTTAGAACCATGAAGGCAAGACGGCTGAGACGGACGCTCTACGCCAAGGTCATCTGCTTCATCCTGTGGATACTTGGGTTCATATTGAGCACTCCCACCATGGTTCATAGAAAGGTAATCTTCTTGGAGGAGTATAAAACGACAGCCTGTGTACTGGAATATAGTCACCGCAGCTCCTTGAAGTTGGCCCATCAGATTCTGATGAACGTGGTGGGCTTTGTCCTGCCTGTTCTGGTCATCGTGCTCTGCAGTGGGAGAATAATCATACATTTGGCTCAGCGGAGGGAGCGTGTAGCTTTTCATGACATTAAAGACACAAAGGCCACACTGCTGATGTATGCCGTCACACTACTTTTCCTGATTTGTTGGGGTCCCTTCCAAGTGTTCACCTTCCTCGACATACTCTGTGACATCCAAGTGGTGGATGAGGAGCTGTGGTTCCACACGCTGGATATAGGAGGCCAGATTTCAGTGTATCTGGCCTTTCTCAACAGCACCCTCAATCCGCTGCTGTACGTCTTCTCAGGGCAGTACTTTAGGAGGAAGGTTAGCGCCATCTACAGGAGGACTAGACACACTCGCAGAGGGTCAGATATGACCACATTCCAACGCTCAGTCGTGTCCACCTACATCAACAGACCGGAGCAGATTAAGCTTGTGGTGATTTTTTAACGCAATGGAGTGGTTTTGTCTAACTTAATATGATTATATCTCATTATTACTCTTGATGTCAACTCCAGATAAATCAATTGCCTTAAAACTACTACAACCTCGACTTCCAAAAGCAAAAAAAAAAAGGCCTGAATTCCTCGTAATTCCTTGTAAGGCCTTATTAGTAATAATTGCTGAGAGTAAAGCAACCTTGTTATTAAGTTCCTCAAAATTAGATCATGTCTTATTTGAAATAACATACTGTGTATAACGTATAACAGAACATTTCTTTCCCTGCTGTCAAAAAGAATGTGTCTGAATCCTTTTCAACTGTTACCTTAGTGTTCTTCTTCATTGTCATTCTTTGTTTATAATCCACAAAACACTTTGCATGGGGTTAACATGGGAGAACGGTCTCCACATGCACTTTGTGTACATCACACAGCCTACACTATATTAAAACAAAGCATCTATGTAGAGGACATATGCAAGATGTTTCTGCATTTTTAAAGCTTGTTTACTATAGTCCTACCACAATTTCTATGGTGGTGGAACAAACTACCAAACTCCATTCGATCTACAGAGTCCCTTTGCACCTTTAAGAAAAAGCTTAAGCGCCAGCTCTCTCATGAATACCTACGACCTTAATGATGATGATGACGATGGTTTGGATATTATTGATGATGATGATGTTGACGATGGGTTTGTTTGATAACGGTGTTTTTAAGATGGTTTCTAAATTGATTAGAGTTATCAAGAACTGCCGTCGATGTTGGGCTCCGCCTCTGTGCATTGCCTGTCAGCATCTGTGTGTCCAATCGGACTCAAAGCTGATCGTTTGTTCTGACATTGTTTCCTTTTTTTCTTAGTGTCTGCTAAGTGAATTGTAGATTTGTAATAGTGCTGACATTAAAAACTATGTCCTCAATATTAAAAAAAAGAAATAAAAACATCAAAAGTTTCAAAGAAGTATGCTTTTATTGATTAGCAGGTCAAGTTAGCATTTGATGTAAAGACAATTGTCTATATCTTTAGATAACTTTGAATATAATGACCAGTATGATCTACTTAATTTTAGGGACATGTTTTAAGTAAAAAGAAAGATGAATTATGTTTTTTTCTTTTGTAAGGCTGGGAGTAAATTATATCTTCTGAAAGTCACAATGTATAAACTAATGAAACGTTGAATGTGTATGCTGCAAGGTGACAGACAGATGGTTAACTTTGATTTAAATTAATTATATATTTTCACCTGCCTACTCTTCCGATTCCATTTTTTTACGCTTAAACCTTTTTATTCTAATGTTCTTCTGACTTTCCCTGTAGTGGTGCTCAGAGCTTTGTTGATACTGTGACTTTATTAAGGGAAACTAAAATATATATACTATATATATATATATATATATGCCTATTATTTCAGTTTGAGCTGTACAAAGTACAGTCAATCAGACAATCTTATCACGCTAGCATGCTAACATGCTAACATGCTACACCTAAAATGGTGAACATGGAGATTATCATACAAGCCAAACATAAGCATGAAAGCATTTCATTGTTTGCAGGTTAGCATCATGGATATAAGCACTGATCTAAAAAAGTACTGTTGTGCTGAAAGTAATTAGATCAAAATCATTTTGTAGCAGGATGTTAACATGTTAATGTTCATCATGCTCATTGTAAAAGTAAATTGACACAAACAGGGATAATGATGATGATAAGCAGAAGAACTGAAATCACAGTTTGTCTTTACTGGCCATAATTTTTGAACTCTCACATCGGCTTCATTTGTCACACCAGAGGTTGCTACTTGCAGTTTCTTCAACCAAAATTTCTGAAAATTTAAAAAAAATTTAGGCTATAAAAAAAACAGTGCTTGTGTTGTACTAACCCTTAGACTTACATTGGACAAAATCCTTCTGCTAAAGGAAATTGCAAAGAGTGATTTAAATTATTCATACACCAGAAAGTCAACATTGAATAAAGAGAAGCGCCGTGTGTTACAGGCTTATTGTAGATTATTGAAGTTCGTCAAAATGTATTGTTGTGTTCACTCAGTGTCCCTTTAATTTTCTGTAAAGTTGTCTTGTGATCTTATTCCTCTGAGATATAGATTTAATAGACAGTTGTATCTTTTATCTCCAACTATGCAAGGCTCCTCTTTTGTTTGACATCAGCGCCCTCGTGTGGCGGTGGTGGTAACTATAGAAATCTCAGATTGTCTGCTCCGTCCCCTTCACTGGCTGTGATCTCAAATACGGTACGTACTAAAAACAGCTTCGTGACTTCTTGTAGCCTAATACTTAACCATTAAAGTAACTTTAGCCAAATCAAAGTGCATATAAAGTGACACAAGTAGTCTTGTAATGTTTTGTGGCTGTTGTTGGGTTGTCATTTGTGTTTAACACTTTTTGAAGTTCCCTCGGGATTAACAAAGGACCTATCTATCTTTCTATCTACACATTTGTATTAGTGGACTTTATTTTTCTGACCTTGATCATATTGTAAAAGTACTGTAAGCTCCCCCTTTGCTGGCTGACCAACTCAAATACGGGGCTGGAGTTGTGTACCAATCTTTTTTTTTAATGCCTTTAATGGAGAGACAGGACAGTGGGACAGAGTCGGAAATCAGGGAGAGAGAGAGAGAGACCGGGGAACGACAATGCGGGAAAAAAAAAAGAGGCCACAGGCGTGAAGCCGGTCCGCCCGCTTGAGGCGACAGCCTCCATACATGGGGCGCGCGCACACCAACCACCGCGCCACACCAATCTTAACTTTTGTGTCTGACTGACAGCTGTTGCTGACAAGTACATACCATGACTCTGAGAGAAGTTGTCTCGTGATCTCTACAGTCGGGGTTCAAGGCCTTCCAGGTGTGACGCGGTGCGCGCTGAGCTCGCCGCGGAGCAGGGCGCGGAGCAGGGCGCAGGGCGCACGAGCAAAAAAACCACAGCAGAGGTGACCGAAACAATAGTCGGGAAAGTCTCTCGGGAAAGTGTCTTCTTGCCGCAGCCATGTGTAGGCCTATGTGTCCGCTATTGAGAAAGAAACCCCGATTGTTCTTGAAAAAGAGGGAGTGTGTTCAGAAAAGCATCAATGCATGTCAGGGCTTGAGGCCGTTTCGGTTCCTCCAGGTGCCGCAGGGCTAAAACGACACACATTACTGCTCTGTTTGAAACGCACCTGGGGCCTATACTACGATGCTAGTTCAACATACCCAGGGTGTCTTTGGGTATCTTCGGGTTATCTGGCTCCACATAAGAGATCGTGCATACGAAGCTGGTTATCAACCTGATAGGTGAACACAGAGTTCCAAAGAGCACGTTCACATAAAAGATGTGGAGTCAGCGTCATATAACCGATCACAATCAATCATAGCTGCGTGCCGTCAGCAGATGGTCATATCTAAAAAAAATTAAAAAAAACTCAACAAATGATATTAATGATATCAAGATGTTTAAGACAAACAGGCTGAAGTTATACAGCTGCAGGAACAAATGCAGGAATTGGCAGATAAAAGAATTGAAATTAGCAAGTATTAATGTGCAAACTACAGCGTATTATATTTTATTCCCATCATTAGTTCACCTTAGAACTGACGATTATAACTCCTGGTTTTTTTTTTCCGCTTAATTGAATGTGTTGCTCTGACTCCTTCATGTGGCCTGTGTAGCAGTTTGAGAAGTTCTATTTCAGCTGCAGCTCTAATGATAACAAGCAGTGGCACGGAGACAATACAAATATGAAGATATAGCCTAATTCAAAGCCATAAGAAGGCTACTCATAATTTTACATCCTAAATACACAACTAAAGGGCTCCGGTGCTTCTTAAGTGTCTGAAGGATAGACTTTAGACTTAATTTGATAAAGGATATCATAAAAAGTAATCATTAATCATTAGATTATATGAAGTGTCCTCCCCCCTCTCGATCAGCTCTGAGAGCTCCACGATCAAAAGATCTGATTGGTCAGTGGGCGGAGATTTTCACAGGTTCACATGCTCCCGACCAGGTTAGGTGTTCATCGTAAATTACCGTGGCGATATACCCAGGTAAGAAGTGAACGACCTTTGTAGGACTCAAAACTCAAGGTTAACCCTGAAGTTACCTCGCTAAGCCCAAATAACTTCTCAAACCAGATCTTTCTTGCCGACAAACCAAAGCTCCGTAAAGTGAGACACAGTTTGTTGTGATCTGAGCTCCCCTCCTATTGGACGCGCGGAGGTGAAGTCACAGGGCGATGCGCTCAAGTAGAAAATGTTTTCACTTTCGAGTGAGAGTGGCAAGCAGGACCCTACCTATCTGAAAGGCCCTACACCTGAAAACATTTTATTAAAAAAAAAACATCTGAAATAGTCTTGAATGTAGAACGGGAACTGTGGTTTCCAATGATTAGTCTGATATCACTTCTAAATCAGTTCTCCTTTAAGAGAGGGACAGTCAAATACCGACAGAGGACTGTAGCAGCTGGTACTTTATCTTTGTGTGAAGTGTGAAATGATTAGTCTGACATCACTTCTAAATCATCTCCTTTAAGAGAGGGAGAGTCAGAGACCAACAGAGGACTGTTGCAGCTGATCTGTGCGGTACATCTGTGGACCGAGAACTAAGACTGGAGGTCTGTAAGAAAAATGAGTCTTCTGCAATCCAGGTACGTTAAAGTTCTTTTGGATTTGTATTTTGTATTTGTCATTATATAACAATTACTCAAAAAGGAAGAGTATGACTTTGATCAACTTATAACATGCTCAAAGATTTTCACCATACATCATATTCTCTGCTTTATTACAATGTCTGTGAATGACACTTTATGTACGTTTTCTAAGTATGAATGAATGTCATGTTATGTCTATGTATTGTGGGGAACAAATAACAGAAAAGGGTGATATTTAGACTTTGCAAAAGGGTTTTGAATTGTTACATTTGAACTACTTCAACTGTAACTATAACTGTGTCAACATGTTGAGTGATGGATGTTGCTCTGCCCGATGGAGATCAAAACGACTAGCATTTAGCACTCTCTCACTGTTTATAATGACCTACATTAATGTAGAATGGAGAGTAAAATGTGAAGACGGTGCTTAAAAGTAAAAACAACATTGTAGTGCACATGCTCACGAGTGGGAAACTGCTTTTAAAATGGTGTCTTTGGCAATTTGATAGATAACGCAAATGTTTCAGTTTAAAAAAAAAGAAAGTGATTAAAAAAAAAACCTTTGTGAATGTATTTAAAATTTGTCCCATCTATTCAAGTAAATTGTGGATGAACTTTTTGTACAAATAACATGAGTCAATATCCAAAAACAAGTCAGGACCAGGTTAAATTTCCAGGTATTCCAAATTCATACGCAATGACTGCCTTATTATTATGAATGATTTTGAAGATAATTGTAAAAATGATAAGCTTAGATTTGGCCTTTTTCCAGTATTCAATATTTTACTCTACACAGCGCTCACTCAATATTCAGTATGACTCACATGTGTGACATGTGTGAATTGATTTTCCCTGAGCGTTACATATGATAATTATAACAGAGTTAGAAGAGATATTTTAAGTTGACCTTAACATTGTATTTCCTGTTTGTATTTCCTTGTCTCTTTCCACAGCAATGCAACTCCAAATGGAGACCAAAATACCACAAATGGCTCTGATAGGCATCCAGAAAATCTCCCCGAATGGTTCATGGCTGCGATTCCTGTGTACATTCTGCTCATTTCCATCTTTGGGATTGTGTTAAATGTGTTTATCCTGATGGTTTTCTGCTTCCACAAGAAGGCATGCACTGTGGCTGAGATCTATTTGAGCAATCTGGCTGCTGCTGACCTTTTTTTGGTTGCTTGTTTGCCATTCTGGGCGGCCTATATAATCAAAGACTACGACTGGCCCTTTAATGGTCCCATGTGTAAACTGGTTAGCCTTTCCATCACCACGAACACCTACTGCAGCATATACTTCCTCGTTCTGATTAGCATAGACCGCTTTGTCGCTCTGGTGCACCCACTGTCCAATACAAGAATGCGTAGGCCAAAATTTGCTAAACTTGGCTGTCTGCTGGTGTGGGTTTTTGATTTTCTTCTGAGTATCCCCATGCTAATGTACCGAAAGTTAAAGTTAGATGAAGGTAATAATACATTATGCTCTTTTGAATTTCCAACCGAAACTGTATATCTGCTCTATGAGGGGACGATATCTCTGTTCATCTTCATCATTCCCATTTTCATTATTTTCTTCTGCACCTACAAGATAGTCCGAGGTCTGAATGCACGCTTAAACTCCCAGAAAACAGAGCAGAAGGCGACCACACTGGTGCTCGCAGTCCTGCTCGCGTTCCTGATCTGCTGGGTGCCATTCCACCTGGTTAGGATCGTAGAACTTGTTTTAGTCTTAAAACCGTTAGCTGTCCGAACAGCTGTAGACACCTGCAGGATGATCTTTCTCTACTTAGGCTTCTTCAACAGTGTTCTCAACCCTGTCCTGTACGTCATCGTAGGAAAGAAATTCCGTAAAAAAGCCAAGGAGCTGTTCAGTCAATGGAGCCCTGTGACTTTACGCAACGACTATACAAGCTCAGAAGTGTTGAGAAGTATGAAAACTGTGGAAGTCTCAAATTGATCCACATGATTGCAATGTGTTTAAGAAGCTATGGCTTCATTTTTAAAGAACAAGAAGGAGGCAAAAAAGAAGAAGAAAGCTAAGAAGCGGAAGAAGGCCTTTTATATGCACATCTCATAGTTGCAGGGCATTTCAAAAACAGAAGCAAGACAAGAAGGCAAACTTGCACACTTGCGTATTGACACAAAAAAGTGAATGCGCATAAAATAAGTGCATACGCAAAATCACCGTCGGATTCATGACACGTGCATACCAGCCAATTTTGTTCTCACCAACTTGTGTATGTTAGTCAATCACAATTTTTTTTTAATCCACAGGCGCGTGCCCGCAACCTTCAATCAGCATACTACCACGCCCCATCTGAGATATAGGGACATTCGATTGGGGTATCAGGATGAGTGCGATGAGATGGAGGCACTTAATTTTTTAGGAGATGGCCCCAAAAGGAGAAAAAAGATCGGTGTGTCTGTGGGTTTAAGTTTGCCACACACTAGGCGATTTTAACCCCCCGATTTTGGGCCTGATTTGCCCCTCCCCCTTGCAATTTGTTTCAGCAAGGCTAGATCTTTACACTTTCTTAGACGTAAATCCCAATCCTGTATGTTCCCTGCTGCTCTTAAATATTCTCAGATGAATCAACTGGTTTTGGTAACAGATGCGATATTGAGTGGTCAACGATTAGATTTAAGATTTATATATATATATTTTTTTTAATTTAACTTAATGGATTTTTAATATGTTATGCATTTAGTTAGAAGAGTGTATATTAACATTTTCTGAGAAAGCTGGTCAATCATTTGTACGCATGGTCTCAGGAAGTTCTATTTTTGTTCAGAGTGAGAACAAATTCAAGTAAGACTATATTGATGAATCCCAGATTTGTGCTTCAAACGTCCGTACGCACGGTTTAAGCAAATATTTGTGTGTACGCGCTGTTAGTGAATGAGGCCAAATGTTTTGACCCACTAGTCTTCCTCGTGTGATCTCCTCGCCATTGAGTTGAACTTTTGTGATTACAAAAATCTTTTTTTTTGGTATATTGGATTATATGCATATATATATTACTTGCCTGAGTACCATATTTCCTGAAATAATAGACTGTAGACAAATGGAAGCTTGTCTTGAAAAATGGCATGCATGCTATTAACTGTTAGCCGCTAATCAGGAATAGTGGCTAACACTTAATGACATACAAGCAAATACAAGCCAAGGAAGAAACGCTTTATAAACTACCAATAGTGCTCATATTACGTGTATGCCAACTATCTTAACGTATATTACCATTGCTGTAATTTAAAGTAAATTATAGAATGTAATCATGTTTGTTTTTTTGCCATTACATTGCATGAATTGTGCTACACTGTACTTTGTAGTAAGGTGTCCGTGGCTGCTGTGTAAGAATTGTGCAACTCCCTGATTTTCTCAGCATGTTGCTGTTTTCACACGAAAAATCTTGTTGAAAATAAGGGTGAAAAAAAGAAGCGAGATCCAGATCTTATTGAGTTATTACAAACAGTCTCATGCAGTTATAATTGACGACAGCAAATGTTGCAGATTTTTCCTTGTACTTCATGTTAAAAATATATTGAAGCAACGTTTGGTTTGGTTTGTTATTCCTTTTTAGATGTTTACTGCTGCTGGAAAATTGCATATCATTCTAATAGCGTAAAGACTATAACACGTGAAGTCTGCTATATCACACTGTTTTCCTTGTTAGAGTCTAATCTTGATGGACAAACAGGAAACTGGGAAACTCTGTGATGGACAAGAGTTGATCTTTTAATGTATCTGATAATTACTTAAACATAATGAGAACATGACCAGAATCAATCAAGGGTCTAATGGGAGATTAGATTTGACTCTTTGCAACAATCCTCTTTCCTGTTTACATTTTATTTTTATTTTTTTACTTTGGGAATACTTTCGATGGTGAAAGACTCTTATTGCCGGATCTGCTTCTTGGGTTCCATCATAATAAGATTTTCAAACGTAACACATTAATACCACTGCTACATAATTAAACAGCACCAATAGATGTTTTTTTTTATTGCAGAAGCTAATGGAACTAATGGAGGAAAGATTAGGAAAGTGTTGTGTTAATGTTTGTGGTTAACCCCTTGATATGACTCTTTCATGGTAAGATGTTCCTGAGTGTTTTCTGTGCCTGTGTGGAACTGTGTTTTTTTCTCTGCTCTTTCACATTGTACTACAATGGCTGTCTTGTGATATTAAAATTTGAAAAACCAAAACACAACCTGTTGCTTTTTACAAATACACATTTGTATGCAATCACATTCTCCCGAAGAGTAGTGCCACACACACTTTCATCCTGTTTTCTACTGTGAAAAATATTACTGTTAATGAACTCTGTGTAGTGCCTGTAATGCCTAATGGGCATTAATGTACCATTGTCCTGCAGAAATGTCTGGGCCCCTAAAAGGCACAGGGAATGGGCCCTCCCAGGATATGATTTAAATCATCATGTAAAAATGTTGTCATTACTGTTATCTCCCTCTGCCTGGGTCCCAGCCTTTGCAGCTGACTGAAATAAGTTTGTTTACAAGTTGTTGTAGTTGGGGTCAAATGCAAGAGCTAGCTCGCTTGTGAACAGTTAAGTTCACTGGGCCCGCTTATGTCGGTAACATTACAGAAAAAGAAGGCTCATATCTTTTTAAGGTGAGGGGGTTTACATTCTGAAACATTTTACTGAGGCAGCAATAAATAAAATGTGTTTTTTTTTTGTTTTTTTTGCTTTAAGGAGTAATGGTGAGGATGTAGGTGTTGAATAAAATGTGGTCATCGTTGCTTAAAAATAGGATGAACCATGACTTTTTATTTTTTTTTGCTAACCTAGATGGCCTCCATTTAAGATCTGGGAGCAATTAATCATGGCTACAATAGCTGTAGTTTTAGAAGAACAAAACAAAAGTCCACAGTCAGAAGAATTAAGGTTCTCATTGCGGGTAACATTAATGAAGTGCATCACTAATTTGATAAAATGATGGACTGGTGAGTGTTGGTGCAGGGGGCTTGGAGGTGAAGCTGACAGCGGGCAGGTTGTGTTGATGGCAGAAGATCCACTGCAGGTAAGCAGAGGGGAGAGGACGGCGTGGAGGGGCGGAGGGGAGAACAAAACACACCAATGACTCAGCACTCACACAAATACTGTGCCATAAATTAAAAACACACACCTTACGCAAACTGAAGTCATGGAGCAGGTACTGTGACAGTTTCAATGTTCACAAAGGAGATCAGAGTCATAGCTTTGTTTATTCAAATCAAGCCATATTCATGTGTTCATGTGTTTACCACAGAACAGTGTGCTTTGTATTGTGCTGTTAGAACCACAGGAGTATGAAAACACTACATTTTTGATGAATTGGAAATTAAAGCCCACCATTTATTGAATTGCTTTTGAATTTAAACTTTCTTTTAAAACCACAAATAAAAAAAACACATGACCAATGATTGATTCGAGCTAAGTGTGTTGATCTTTCTTACGTTGACATTTGATCGCAGCTTGAAAAAACTACATCAAGACTTATAATTATTTGGAAGCTGTAATCCCTGAGTACTGATATTAAAATAGACATTATTTATTTTTCTGGAAACATTAAGTCATGCTTTCAATGAAGTACAACCAGCACAATATGCTTTGATCATCAGACGTATACGGACAAAACTTACTCATTAATGCCAGAAGAATCTCAATATCCATTATTATGCATACTTATGATGGCTGGTGTCAACTTTCTGAAAGAGGTTTCTGCACCACAGAGGATTCATAGAATTGATTCTGTTCGTATTTCTTTATCTGACTTAAACACCGAGCAGTGTTTCAGTCAAGGGTACAAAGTTTGAAACAGTGCTTTAATCCTTGTGGGTTAATCTTTTGTTTTCTGCAGTTGTACTTGGATGGTATATTTATAGTTTATAAAGAATCAAAGGAAGAAATTCTGACATCAAAATTGTCCAAAAATATAAAAATTTATATATTTAACTGGCACTTTCTATCCCAGTGTCATATTATGTCTGTACCGTCATCTGTTACATTGTACATGGGGCTCCTGCTTATCAAATTATATTTTTATTAACAACACAATACACTACATTCACTGAATGGTAAACAGTGTTTCACCTTTGGAAGTCCCTGCGTTGACTTTCGACGATGCACAAATTAAACAAATACACCCGATGCTATTTTTGTTTGTAACGTTGCCAAGCATGTTTTGCTGGAAAGCATTTGCATTGCTGATCCTATCTCGTTTCTAACAAAACAGAGAGCTTTCCATTTACCAAAGCATTCGGGGGTTTGGACACCATCGCTATCAATGGATGCAGCTTTTTTCAACAAGACAAACTGTACTGTGGTGTCCTCGGTGGAAAGGAACATGTATCCAACTGCTTATTCTCTGTTCTTTATCGTGGGATTTCCAGCGAACTGCCTGTCTCTGTATGTGGCCTTGATGCTGATAAGAAATGGAAACAGCATGGCAGTGTACTTATTGAACCTGTCCATCTCTGACCTGCTCTACACTATCTCTCTGCCCGTTTGGATCGAGCTGGCCCTGCGGAGGCCTGTGAATGACAGTCTGTGCAGTGTCGTGTCTGTGATCATGTACAACAGCTTTTATGTGAGCTCAGGCCTCCTTTGCTGCATCTCTGTTGATCGCTACCTTGCCGTGGTTTATCCTCTCCACTTCCACTGGGTCCGGGAGATGCGGACCACGGTGTACGTGAGCATTGCTGTGTGGACTTTTGAAATTTGCATCCACATTATCTTACTCCACCACACGGGGGCACTGCAAACCTTCTCCTCAAGCTTGCTTTGTCATGAGCCGGCACCCATGACACTTAAAGATGCTGACCACTACCTCACAAGAGTCGTCCTGGGCTTCCTGGTGCCTGTCTTCATCATGGCCTTCTGTTTCCAGCAGATCATGAAATCCCTCCGTCGAAGCTCGTCCATCCTGGAGGGGGAGCGCAGGAAAGTGGGCGTGCTGCTCTTGTTTCTACTGCTGACCTACATAGTGTCCTTTCTGCCTTTCCAGACAGTCATGCTGCTCAGGGCTGTGCTGGAGCCGGGGGCCTGTGTCTGGGCAGCAAGGCTCAGAGATCCCTACCTGGTCACTGTTGCCACGACAACCCTCAACAGTTCACTAGACCCTATCATATACTGCTTGATCAGTGAGAGTGCTCAAAAAGAGATCAGAAAAGCCGTGGAGAAAGGGAGGGGTGTTTGGAAGAATAGTAAGTTGTTTGAGAGCTCGAGTGCAATTCAGACAATTTCCTAAAAACTCCATTGTTCATTGATTCATTTGAACCAAATCAATATTTCAAACTTTGTAGTATCCAATACAGTATGCCAATACAGTGACATAGTAAGTTTGTTATATACTGATACCTTTTTACTTGCAAACATGTAAATTCAACAATTTTTTTTCAATAATGTTTTATTCTATTTTCATTTTGGACCCAATCACTTCTGAAACTTAACTTTTGCTCCTGTGTGTAGACAATGTGTTGTATGACATTCTAGTTATTGTGTATCTTGATAAACTTTGACTGATTTATTGTTAACAATGTATTTAAATAAGCTTCCTATGGTTTGTCTTTCTCTTGTACTATTGCCTCATGTGTTCTGTTCATGTTTGCACTCTGAATTGCAGTTGATTTGTATGAAAGGTGCAATATTAATAAAGATTGATTGATCCTTTTATCGCAAGAGACCTCTTTTGTTAGCTTAGACGGTGTTTGTGTTGCCTCAGAAGGGTTGTAAAATAAGGTATATGCAGCAGAAAAAAAGACAGCGAGTCTGTGACTGTAACTCTCCTGAAACCTTAAACGTTCTTTTTTACAAAAACAAAGACTGTCGATGTTGTCCCCCATCCTTTTATTAGAAATGTCTCTCTATGACCAGTATAGGAATTAATAATAATGAATAAAAATCCTTGTCTTTCACCAGTGAGGCGTATCACTCACTGCGAATCTTTGCTGTGGAAAAAGTAAAATGTTAAATATACTGAGTCTGACACCTACAGGCATTAAGAAATACCAATGAACAAATAATCAATATTGTTGCTGATAGACTTGTTTGCTTTCGTAGCTCATACAGAGGCATCAGTATTGATTTTTATTCTGTTTTTTAACCATGAAAAAAAACCTCCTCCATGGCAGCTCTGTGCATATCCTCCAGCAGCACTAAGGGCCAGCTACAACAATATAACTACCCTATGGAAACAATGAGACAAGCAGATAAGTATCCCCTTTATCTGATTAGAATAAGCATTACCTATACTGTCTGTCTTTATTGACTCATCAAACAGAGAGACAGGCAGTCTTGTTTAGACAGTCAATTAAATCTGCTGTATGTTTCTGTGACACAGGAAGTTTGTTCCGCCCATGGCCTGTCACCCAGTAAATAACGTGTGGTGGTCAGGGAGGACGAGGAGGCAGCTTCTGACTCTTCCTGTTCCTTTTAACAAACTGATGTGGCAGCCAAAGAATGAACTCCCTCTGCTTCTTTGTATGTTAACAATGATGCATTTTGTGGGAAGAATGAGGAGCGAGAACTAAACTGGATAAATGTAAGTAGACCTTCGTATCAGTTCATCTGACTCCATCTTGAGTGGACGTTGTAGTTGTTAATGGTTTAGGTTAGACAGCAAAAAGTTGTCTTGAGACCGGTCATGAGACTATGATCATTTTCGAGTATTACAACTCTACTTGATTCATTTTTTGTTTGTCTTCTCTAAATGCTTATGGTTATTTTACTTCTAATGCTGTTAACTTTGTTTAAGTTTAGGTGGATTTTGTTGTTTCCATGTCATTGTAATCGGCTTCAGATATCAGCAGACTTGAAAGCTTCCTGTACATAGATTCTGGTCATTTCCCTGCTTCAAGCTGCTCATTTCACTCAAAGATAATTATTAACGCTTTCTCAACCTCTGTCCAGAATTCTAATAATACAACTGGTCTCCACTAGGGGGCAATATTTATCATATTTGAAATGTGAAAAAACTTACAACTCTCCAATGCACCTGTCTTCAAGTATCTTTCTAATTTGACATCAGGTTTTCATTTCAGTCATCAAATAGCTACCTCCAAAGTGGGAATCACTGATCAAATTTCAAGGCTGAAATATTAGTGCATTGGCCCTTTAATTTTTTAAAAAATCTGTTATTATCTTTTTATTTCTTCATTTTTCCTTTATTTTTGTTCTCCTTAAGGTGTGATCCCATGACGACCACGTCTGCAATGGAGAACTTCACGGTGGCCACCAATCATTCAGACTTCTACTCAGTCGACAGCTCTTCCAGGAGGAAGCCTTTCCTGGTGTTCTATGTGGCTACCATCATCACTGCCATCCCGTCCAACGCTTTCTCCCTCTACGTGTCCTTGCAGCACATTAGACAGAAAAACGAGCTCGGCGTGTATCTTTTCAACCTGGCATTGAGTGACCTGACCTTCTCCATCGGCCTTTCCTTGTGGCTGGACTTCCTGTGGAGAGGAGTGTGGGCTCATGGAGGCTACGTTTGTGTGCTGTCCGTCTACTCTCTCTACACCAACTTCTACACCAGCGATGCTCTCCTCTGCTGCATTGCTTTTGACCGCTACCTGGCAGTGGTTCACCCATTTAAGTACACTTTCTTGAGGAAAGTCGATACTGCAGTGGGGGTCAGCGTTGCCATTTGGGTGCTGGTGGTCTGTTTCAATGCTGCAACCATCACCTGGGAGGACTCCTATTATGAGGACAGCAAGTTTTCTCAGTGCTTTGATATATTTCGCCCATTGTCAGAGAGCATGTTTCGGGCTAATCTAGCGCGCTTCTTCCTGGGCTTCATTTGTCCCGTTGTCCTTGTTGTGTTCTTCACCAGGGGGCTCTGTGAGGCGTTGAAAACCAACCAGTCCACAGAGGAACAGGAACGTAAACAGATGTCAAAGCTGCTGACGGTCATCCTGCTTTGCATTGTGTTGTTCTTCGGACCTGTCCACATCATAATGCTTGTGCGTGCATTTGTGAATGACTGCAGGTATCTAGCATGGTTCATCTATCCATACAAGATCAGCGTAGCTATCTCAAGCCTCAACTGCCTCGCAGACCCTCTCCTTTATTGCTTTATTACTAGAACAGGGAAGGAAAATGTAAATCAGTTTGTTCTCCTGTTCCACATAAAGAAGAGGAACAAAGATGACGGTGTGGTATAGGTCATATAAAGTACAAGTCAAATGTAGAACCGCTTTTCACAACACATTCACAGACACTGCGAAAGAGTTGTCCAAGAGCAAATGTGTAAATTAAAGTTGCCGATGTGTTTTACATTTTAGAGTGAGTAAGATACTTACAGTTGATGACTTTGGTCAGATCTGGGTAAAAAAAAAGTCCATTACTGCAAATAAACTGAAACGAGCGAAGAATCTTCTGTATTGAGGTCTTAATGCAGGAAACACTTTGCTTTTTAATCTCCAAGTTTCAATAAATACTTCTGTGTAAGACATTGATGTCTCCTGGGCATTTTCTTTCCAGTTAAAGTAAGTATGATAAATGAAACAACAGTTACATCAATTGTTAGTCATTTGTAATTAGAGACCCAAACCATGAATAGGTTCCAGAGTTTTCATAAACACGTCTATTCTAGGGCCCGACCGACATGGGAATTTGGGGTCTGATACCAATATTAGGCAGACAAAAAAATCTGGTACCGATATATTGACCGATGTCTTTCTTAGATCTGTTTTCGATCTGTAGAGATAAATATAGATATCGGCTGGCCGATTAATTGGTCTAGTCTATACCATGTGTATAGCTGAAACTAAAAATGGATATGATATTGCAGTTTAAATGATAAGATGAGCATGAGTATAACATTTTAGTTGGTAGACAAACACAGAACAAGGAACTAAAGTACTGCATATAAGTGTCAGCATTTGGATAATTTAACTCTAATACTTGTTAGGTTTAGACTGAGTTTACTTTCCATTTTCAGGGTAGTTTTTCCAGACATGTAGGGTAACTTATTCTTTCAGGAAGGGTATAGCTCTTTCTGTCCGTCGGGGTAGGTCAAACTGTCCGAGAGGGTGGCTCAAAGTGTCAGCAAGGATAACTCAAACTGACACAGGAAGGAGATCCTAGTCTGTCAGACAGGGCAGCTCAAATGATCACGCAAGGTAGCTCATTTTGTCAGGCAAGGTAGCTCATTCAGGGGTAGGGTAGTTCATTCTGGCATATAGGGTCGCTTGTTGTATCACGCAGGGTAGCATGAACTGTCAGGCAGGGTTTCTCATTCTGTCTGTCAGACAGGGTTGGTCAATCTGACATTTCTGGTAGCTCATTCGAACATGTAGAGTCGCTCAAACAGTCATGAAGGGTAGTTTATACTTTCAGGTATGGTAACTCAGTGTTTTATGCAGGGTAGCTCATTTTGTCAGGTATAGTGTAGCTCATTCTACAGCTACATCTTTCAGTTTACGTGCATTTTCATCACCGTTATTTCCTTTAGTTTGTGTTATTTCTAGAGATGTTTTTGTTTACACAACATTCTTTCAGCAGGGCTTTAAACGTTTATGCATAAATATGTTTTTATGAAACTAAATTCCTGAAATGAATCCAGAAATGACTAAAGACAGAAATGATTTCATTAACTGTGTTTGCTAAACCACAGAGAATCATTATGAAGCTAGGATTTAGTAAGCAAAGTACATGACCCAAAATTATTCTAGGGAAAATTTAAAATCGCTGCATAAGGGATTCTTTCACCAAGAAAAACGTGTTTAAAAAACAAAAAACATATTCTTTCAACACATCAAGGGGTGCGAGTCTGCAGGGGCCCCAGTAGAGGGCGCTCATGTTGCGTCCAAAAACAAGTCTAGTGTTAGGCCAATAAAAGTAGCCTACAATAAACAGTAGGCTATTAACACAACTGAAATAGTTTATTATCTGTAAATAGTGCCAACAAAAAAGACAAATGATGGAAGAAGAAAATATTTGCACTCATGAGATTAAAAAAAAAAACAGCTCCGCTTGACGAATGTAAACGGCTGCAACCAGATAAAAGTTTATTTAAAAAGCAGTAGTAGTTTTTAAAAAGAAAACTTTTGAACAGTTCTCTTTCCTGTAATAAATTTGCTTTAAAGATATTCCCCTGTTTTAAAATATGTCCGTTTTAATGCAGTACTCTTATTTACAACAGATGTGTATTTGTGTGTATGTGTGGGGTATGAACACCATTAATACCTGTTGTCTCCTGAACACTTTTCTTTTTCCAGTGCTCCGATGCTCATGAAAGGAATTGGG